CAATTAACTTGCTTAACTTCTCTCAACTTGTTTCCTCGTAAGTTAAAGAAAAAAAAAAGATTAACAACACCTACCTCACAGATTTGCTACAAAGACTGAAAAATATAAGCTAAGGATTTGCACAAATATTACTACTAAGGACTAAATAAAAGTTATTATTATTATTATTTCTATGAAGAATGTACCCTTAAGAGAGCATTTGCTGTTATCACAAGTCACTACATCTGCTTCATTTGGGTTTAGTTCACCAAACATTTATTGAATGTCACACAGTGTTCTAGATACTAAGAATACAAATATCAATAAAGGATGATCATTGCTTTCACAAGCCCAGGCTTGTTGGAGAGAATTAATTCCGTTACTCAGGTTGCAGAAGCAGGACTTTTCTTTCCAGTGGCTTAGTCTTTCCTCAGTTTTGGTTCACTGCCACATTACCATACATAAATATATTTAGTCTGTAATATATAGGTGGTCAGCAAAAAAGCATAGGTCATTATAGATCACTACTGAAAAATACATGTGCCATTGTATAAAACTTAAAAGTTATCACAACAGTGCAACTTGCTAAAGGAATTGGAAACATTTACATCTAGAAATAAATAAAACATTTGTGATCTTTGTAAAATGACTTAAGGAAGATTGGTCGCAGTTTATATATTATGCAAAAGCAGTTAGAAAGTTACATGTAAGGATTGAAGGAAAGTACCACAGCACCTAATCTGTACTGAATACCTTAAGAGCTACAGGATTAATAAAAATTCTCTTTAGCAAGACAGGACTCTTAGGACCAAACTGGTCCTAGATCACCGTAGATAGCTAGTAACGATCATGTCTAATATTTACATAAGACTTTATGGTCAGCCAAGCACTTTCAGAACCAGGTCATTCAATCCTTAGAACTACTGTTAGGGCATAACTGGGGTAAATAAAGATCACGTTGAAGAAACTGAAGTCCAGAGAGGTTAAGTGAACTGCCCAATAGTACAGACATTCTCACTCCATGGTGGCATTTTGAATAAAGGTATGGCCAACTACAGTGCAATCTCACTAATCCATACCTCAGTAAAAAAGACATGAAGGTACAATACCCCATTCACCACTGCATGAGGAGTTGGAAGGAAATATTTTATTTATATTATATATAAAAATATTATCTAGGACATTCTGAAAGAATTACAAATAATGTAATATAACTCCAGAAAAAATGGAAAATACAGAATACAGATTAATCTAGTGAGCATGGTGAGGGATTATTAGAGGGACTGAAAGACATCAAATCTATAATTACTAATTCCTTTGGAGAGACACAACATGTTTATGCTATTTAGACTTTCCATTTAGGGTATATTTCTCCATGGATTCAAGCCTTCTTTTTGTCTTAACAAATACACACGTCTCTTGCCAGGCTTTTTTGAGAAGTTTTATGTTTTTAAAGTATTATGATGAGGATTTCTATATTTAAAAAAATTAGGCCAAGACTAATTAGTCCTCAAGACTAAGGACAGAAAGAGAGAAACAGGTTCTGCAATCAGCACCACAGGCTTTAATCAAAGCCCATTATTCCTATAGGGGCTGGTGATTGCTCCTTAGTCTTTGGACCTACCCTCACATACACATCCCCAGTAGTCATCATTAACTGCCTGACACTCAAACCCCAAAGGCAGCTGTAGCAGTTCATGTTCCTACTCTGCTATTTTAGGAGAGGAAAACTTTTTCTTAACAAAGATGATTAACTCCAAGGGGGAAAATCAATTAGTGTCGATGTAAAATAAAAGCTACATTTTTTTAATTTACTTTTTAAGATTTTATTTATTTATTTGACAGAGAGAGAGAGAGAGAGAGAGAGGAGAGAGAGTACAAGCAGGTGGAGTGAGAGAGGGAGAAGCAGGCTTCTTGCGGAGCAGGGAGCCAGATGCCGGGCTTGATCCCAGGACCCTGGGATCATGACCTGAGCCGAAGGCAGACGCTTAACCGACCAAACCACCCAGGCGCCCCTACATTTATTTGTTGTAGTACATCTTTCAAGAGTACAGGACTAGAACATACTTAATGAAAATTTTGAATAGGAAAAACAAAACTTTTTTCAATAAATAAGACAAGAGTTCTATATTATAAGCGATTTACCAAGGTAAGAGGAAAAAGACTTGAAGAAAGAAAAGGATATAATGAATAGAGGAAATTTAAAAATTCTTGGCAATAATGGTCTGGGTCCCTTCATATTCTCCCCACTGTCAAAGTCCTTTCTCCAAGAGAGGCCTAGATCTAGCACAGAGTATGCCAGACCTAATCCCTACCATCTGTCAAAACCTTTTATGTCTTAACCTTAACATCACATACCTGCTTTCAGTCTTCTCGGAGTTAAAAGTGTTAGGACCGAGATGTTCTTGTAGGAATCTTTTAGGGGTATATAGGACATTGGGTTAATTTCTCCTTGTGTATTTGTATAAATATACTAAAACTTGTATTATTGTATGCTTAAACCACCAGATTAGAGCTAGTATTTTAAATACCCTTCAGAGTGTCTATGAAACTCTTCAATCTAACAGCTAGACCAAAAAAACCCCAGAACGTCATTATAAAGTTGTTCTGATAACTTTTATGCACAGAAAAGTTAGGACGGAAATAACATTTGTGTGACCAAACTGTTCATTACTTTAATAAATACTTGTTGAGTATTACTTGGTGTGCCAAACGCCCAGGTGAACTAGGGATACAGTGGTGAAGAAGAAACACATGGTCTGTGGCAAAGGGCAGAAGTCAAGTCCCTTTGGAGTAATATTTAATTTACTTAAGAAATCAGGTTCTGGGGGCACTTGGGTGGCTCAGTCAGTTAAGCATCTGCCTTTGGCTCAGGTCATGATCCAGGAGTCCTGGGATGGAGCCCCGCATTGGGCTCCCTGCTCAGTGGGGAGTCTGCTTCTCCCTCTGCCCCTCCCCCAGCTTGTGCTCGCTCTCTCCCTCACTCTCTCTAATAAATAAAATCTTAAAAAAAAAAAATCAGGTTCTATATTTTCAGATAGCTTGAGATTACTCCTTTATACCATAAACACTTAAATATTTAATTCTAATAATTTCTGATGAAAAAAATTTAAACTGTATTTAAAATTTAAACTTAATGCACATTTCCCTTTACTGGAAATGATATCTCTAATATACCTTAGCATTTTCTTGATGAGCATCAATTATTGTACTGTGCTCTAACATGGCAATAATTTAAAATACTACTGAAATATGGAGGGTTATTTGCATATATACCTAATGGCATCAAGGCACTATGTTTTTGGAGTGTTACTACTTTTCAGTATCTTGTTAAATTATGAAATATGTCATACAGATAAAAAATGAATATAACAGACATAGCTTTTAAAACATGATGAGACATTAATACCTTTATTTATTATTATTATTTTTAAGTATTTTATTTATTTATTTGACAGAGAGAGACACAGCGAGAGAAGGAACACAAGCAGGTGGAGAGGAAGGGGGAGAAGGAGACTTCCTGCGGAGTAGGGAGCCTGATGTGGGGCTCAGTCCCAGGACCCTGGGATCATGACCTGAGCCGAAGGCAGATGCTTAACAACTGAGCCACCCCAGTGCCCCGAGACATTAATACCTTTAAAGTCCCCTTATGTGTCTTTCACATTGACTATTCCTTCCTCTCAGAGTTAACCACTAATTTTTATAATATGTGTCTGCTTTTTATAGTTTTATTTTTTCTTTCAAATAACTTTTTGTATTTTTTTTTTCTTAAAGATTTTATTTATTTATTTGACAGAGAGAGACACAGCGAGAGAGGGAACACAAGCAGGGGGAGTGGGAGAGGGAGAAGCAGGCTCCCCGCGGAGCAGGGAGCCCGATGCGGGACTCGATCCCAGGACCCCGGGACCATGACCCGAGCCGAAGGCAGTCGCTCAACCAACTGAGCCACGCAGGCGCCCAACTTTTTGTATTTTTAATGTCTGCTTTTAGAAACTCTACCAAAATAGAAATTTGTTAATTTGTTTTAGACTAGGATACTGAGAAGCAAGCTCATTAGGACTGTGCTTTAATGTAAAATGTGACAAGTTCTAATAGAAGGCCAGAGGGGTTCTCTTTTGAATAAGGCCTATATGCATTATAGCACCTTCACTGAGACATCTATTTTGCCTGTTAAAAGGCCTTTTGAATTTAATTACTGCTGCTTAAGATTGTTCCAGATGGTTGGGAATGCCAAAGAGGTAACCTTGTCATTCAGGTGTTATGTAGTTGAAGGATTCATAAACTAAAAGATCCTGAAGTGACATTAATGGTCATCAAATCCATCCTCTTCACTCCCTAAAGAAAAAATCAACTCCCAAAAGTTTGAATGACTTGCTTTAAGTCACAGAATTAACAGCAGAGCAAAGGTCAGCATTCAAGTCACTGAGACCAGTGGTTTTCAAGTAGGGACCCCTCAGGGGCTATTTAGCAATGTCTGGAGCCGTTTTTGTTTGTCACACTGGGAAGGTGCTACAGAAGCCAGGAATACTGATAAACATCTTCTGATGTACAAGACAGCTTCCCACAACAAAGAGTTATCTTGCCCAAAATATCAACAGTGCTGAGGTAGAGAAACCTTAACTTAGAACTACACTTTGTCAGATCTCTGTAATCGACTGTTTACTTAATACAAACATTCTGAGAAAAACAGTGTCAAAATAGGTTATTTCCCTTTAGTTAAACATTCAGACAGATTTAAGGGTCCAGTTTGATTCCCTATGAGATGGAATACATTATTATTACTTTTTTTTTTTTAAGATTTTTTATTTTATTTATTTGACAGAGACATAGCGAGAGAGGGAACACAAGCAGGGGGAGTGGGAGAGGGAGAAGCAGGCTCCCCGCAGAGCAGGGAGCCCGATGCGGGACTCGATCCCAGGACCCTGGGATCATGACCTGAGCTGAAGGCAGTCGCTTAACCAACTGAGCCACCCAGGCGCCCAAGATGGAATACATTAAATAAAAAAATAAAATATACTCACCAGGAGCCAAAACCCAAGGGTCTCCTATCATAATCTGGCAGATCTGGAGCAATCTTACAAGCCTGTATGTTCAGGTACTTAAATATGTGGATTTTGCCTTTTATACATATCTAAAAAAGTAACATATAAAGGCAACCAAATTATTACTCATTTGAAATATATGTGTCCCTTGCTAACAATCACAATCAGCTTTTTACTTATTATATATTAGAAGCAAGGCATTTCTATCAACTACATCCAGTGATATTAAAAATCAAATACTCATTATAACATGTTATTTTATGTGTTTAAGTGATATAAATACAGATTTTTGTTTTCTAGTCAAGAATAAATTTCAGTAACATATAAAATAAATAATTTATGATTATAAACACTGATAGAATACCAAATAAACTTATCAAACTGATTAGATTAGGCATAGTCAGGGATTTAAAGCATTGTTCCCCATAGATTTCACCGGCAACTTTTGCTTTTAGAAATCCAACAATCATGCACAATTATGTTTTGAATCCTACTTTTCGTAAGAGAGAAAAGCAGGAAATGATTAAATATTAAAGTTACATTTCTGTTGACAGAAGTCAAAATATAAATTCTTTAAGATTATGAGATCCTTCTATAGTTATGAAGTTTACTCATAAAACTTTATAGTTGTCATCCAGAGGCTTGAATAAGACCATCATCAACTGTAGAGTTCAAATGCTACAGTGAAAAATATGGGCTGGCATGTGTTGTGATGAGCCCTAGGTGTTATACGCAACTAATGAATCGTTGAACACTACATCAAAAACTAGTGATGTACTATATGTTGGCTAACTGACATAATAAAAAAAATTAAGTTACATTTAAAAAAAAGAAAAATATAGGCTGGTAAAATTTTTCAGATTATGGGATGGCTAGAATCTATATGTAAAGTTACCTTAAAATTACTTTATTATTAAATAGTTTCATATGATAAACAAATGATCAAACTGACTAAATGAGGAACTTAAGATTTTAGAAAATAAAAAGGTACAAAAATGATGGTCAGAAGAAACGCACTGATAATCTTTAATGCTGAAAGCCAAGTATTTTTATTTGTCTCTCATGTTTACATTGCCTACTTTCAAGTTTTACCAGAAAGAAATTAACTCAAATTGTATTAGAAAAACTTCGAGAAGAACCCCTCAACTTAAAAAGTAAGAATTTAGTGAAAGGAAAAGCACTTCTGGAAATATTATCTGTCCTTCATCCCATTTATTCAGGGCTTCTAAAGAATGCATATGTGTGTGAATTTACTGTAAAAGAACTTCATTTCCAACAAAAAGATAAATGCATAGAACTTCAATTTTTAAATTCACCCTTTGTCAAAAAAGTTCCCAGTATACTTCAAATCCACTAGAGTTTACCTGTGCAGGAGGAGACTGTAGTGGATTGTTATCTAGGGTGATCATCTGTAGGTGCCTGAGGTTCCGATAACAAACAGGGATTGTTGTAATTTTATTGCAGGAGAAGTCTAACCGTATCAAAGGCAGCTCTGCCAGCTCTGCAGGGTGATAAAATGGAAATGAACAATTAATGATATTTCAAAACTAAACAATTTTTACAGGACCTTCTAGTTAAAGAGAGCGAATTTAATGTATTTATCTCCTTTCTTAAAGATGAACTGATATTATAAAATGAAATCTAGTTGCTTACAGATGGGAATACTAGTGAAAAGCAAGCAGTCTGACCCCTCACAGAACTAGAAACCGGAGGCCTGATACGACAGAAACGTAGGCATAACCAAAGGATTAGATGATAGTCTGTACAAAGAACAAGTTAAATGTCTAAGTCCCCAACCTCAACTCATGCAGCCCTACCCCTCTCCAATCATTCACCACCGGGGTCAGTAAGTTATTCTCTAGTGACACTGAATCAAAGGCTTTGAATTCAGGAATCTTAGGCACAATGGAAAGTCAGGATGAGTTGCCAGTTGGAAATGGAGGATTTAAAAGGAAGTCTACACAGCGACGAGACCTCAGCATGTTCCTACCGAACCCCACCCCATCCCCAGCTCTTGAATGCCAGTAGTCAGTCCCCTCTTATTCATGGGGGATATGTTTCAAAACCCCCAGGGGATGCAGAAACTGCAGATACTACCAAACCCTATATATTCTGTGATATTTCCTATACATACATACCCGTATACATATACTGTGATTTCTCCTATACGTACATACCTGTATACATATGATAAAGTTTAATTTATAAATTAGGCACAGTAAGAAATTAACAACAAATAAAATAAAATAAAATTAACGACAAAAACTAATAATAAAATAGAACAATTGTAATAGATAGTGTAATAAAAATTATGTGAATGTGGTTTTTCTCTCTCTGCTAAAAAAAGAGGGAGGAATTAGCCATACGTACATAAAAAACTAAGCAAATAAAAAAAGACAAAAACAACAACAAAAATAAGATGTATAAAAAAGAAATAAAATCAGAGTACATCAACTGAATTGGCAGGGAACAGTATTTATATAGTTGTAATAACATAAACAATAACACTTTGATCAAAAGTTGTGATAAAACTACACTGGGAAGGGGCGCCTGGGTGGCTCAGTCGTTAAGCGTCTGCCTTTGGCTCAGGTCATGATCCCAGGGTCCTGGGATCGAGCCCTGCATCAGGCTCCTTGCTCAGCAGGAAGCCTGCTTCTCCCTCTCCCACTCCCTCTGCTTGTGTTCCTTCTCTCACTGTGTCACTCTGTCAAATAAATAAAATCTTAAAAAAATTACACTAGGAAGATAGTAGGAGGGAAGTAAAGGTATGATCGTGATAGTTTGTAAGAAAGTTAAATCGTCATCTGCCAGGTCACCTGGGTGGCTCAGTAGGTTAAGCATCTATCTGCCTTTGGCTCAGGTCATGATCCCAGGACCCTGGGATCGGGCTCTCTGCTCAGCGAGGAGCCTGCTTCTCTCCCTCTCCCTCTGCCTGCTGCCCTGCCTACTTGTGTGAGCGCTCAAGCTCTCTAATAAATAAATAAAATCTTAAAAAATAAAAATATTTAATATTTATAAATAGTCATCTACCATAACAGGAAGCTGACACAAGTGTCAAGACTGGTAAATCCAGCAAAGCTGTTAAAGCACGTCATTTAGAAGTATGTCAGCAAGTGCCAGTGAAAAGAATCAAAGGTGGAGAAGGTAGATGCTTCTAGACATTAAAACCGGGGAGGCAGAGGGGTGCCTGGGTGGCTTAGTTGGTTAAGGGTCCAACCTTGATTTCAGCTCAGGTCATGATCTCGCAGTCATGAGATCGAGTCCTGTGCTGCCTCCACACTTGGGGGGGGGCAGTCTGCTTGAGATTCTCTCTCTCTTCCCCTCCCCCATGCGCATGTGTGTGCACACACTCTCTCTCTAATTAATAAACAAATCTTAAAAAAAAAATAACTGGGGAGGGAGATGGCTGAGGCAGGGGAATGCTATTATTGATTTTGAGCTTTTTCTACTCGACTTTCTGAACGATATATTTTCATACTATTTTTTATACTATTTCATACTATATATATTTTTATACTACTCGACTTTCTGAGCAATATATTACTTTATAACAATTAAAATTTAAAATCAAAATGGCAATAAGAGACATACTAATTTATCTACCAAACTGGAATATGTTAGAGACCATATGAACTTCTACACTAACTTATGTAGCTATCAGAATAAAGCTTTCCTCCAGTTTAACTCTCAATTTAGCTGAATATGCTGAGATTACAAGATAAGCTGATAGAAAACCATTTAAAACTATTTGTGTGACTCACCATTTTCTTGGTAACACACATTTAAAATATGATAGAGAAATAAATTAGATGATAAAATTATTAGACTGTAATTGTCATCTAAAACCCTGAATTTTCATTTTCACTAAAATCCCAATGTTTTCCTTAATTGATTTTATATTAAGTCCGTATTACTACATTAATAAGCCTTTAAAGATCAATCTCAGTAGGTAGGTCCCCGAGTAGAAGAGTAATCTTGGATAGAATTTTCGGGTTATAAGGCCTGTGCCATGATTTTGGTCAGTTCTGCTGGGGGTCTTCATTCACATTCCTGAGGGGGTAGAAAGCAGACCCAGGAGGAAATGAGGAAGGGCTCTAAAAGTAAAAGGTGTAAAGGTTACTGGGTAAGTGACTGAAAGGAAAGTTATGCAGGATTTTGGCTAGTCTGACTGCACTAAGTGTATAAAAGTGGACTAAAAGGTCACTTATTGAGACATTTTGACATCCAAAATGTCAAAGTCACACTTGTATATTTTAGAATTAAAAATCATACTGGATCATACTGGTGTTAATATTTGATTCCACAGTGAAGCAAAAGCTTCATTAGTTAATTCAGTATTTACTATATATTATAGGTCATGTTTTATAGAAGAACCTAGAGCATCACAGTCATGAAAATACCTTCTAAAGGACAGAGGTAAGGGAAAGTGGATAGGAGTTTAGATGACACAGGAGTTGCCAGGAACTGATAACTACCATAGCTGGATATTCATTGCTCTCATTTATATATGAAATTTTCCATAATAAAATTAAAGATATACTCTGATCTAAATTCTCCTCATTTTCATTTCTTTTTACAGCTTCTTTCATGAATTCATATTTTGAAGGGTTGGTAAATTATACTTAATTTGCTTAATCATTTTTATGATTTAGATACATATACCAGAGCCTATAGTGAGCCTAAGATAACAAGCCTCCCAGTGCAGTCTCTCACTCCATTCATTATTCATTCTACACATTACCTCCAACCATTAATTAGCCTCTATCTGAACATTTCCAGGGAAAGATAAAGTAAGTTCAAGTCAAGTCCATTTAAGTCAGTGCAAATTGCAGGAATGTTTTTCATTACACTAAACTATTTCCTGATCAAAAACATGATCTACTTCTCCCAAGTACTTGCACTTACTGAAACTTCCAGGGACCCTACCTTGAGTTATTAATTAATTCTGACAAGATCTTAAAATACAATCACTGGTTAATAGTTATTGGAGTTTTTCACTGAAGAATCTAACTTTAAAATCCACAAGGAAACAGATAACAACATATAGTAGCTGAACCACTATATCTCAAACATTGCCTGTAGCTCTTATACATTTTTGTCCTGTACCTATCAGTCTGAGAGATCTTCAAAATAAAGAAACAAGTAATAATGAAACAATTATTTCGGTTTCTTACCTTCAGGCAAACGTACTAAGTGGTTTCTTCTTACATTAAGGTCTCTCAAGGCCTCCAAATTACCAATTTGGGAAGGTATTGTTTGAATTTCATTGCAGCTCACATCCTATCTCAAAAAGATACAAAGTAAAGAATTGTTCTAATATTACAAATTTGTCTGCTTTAAACCATGTGTAAAATGAGGTTCGATAAGATAATACCTATGGTCTGTCTTAACTGTAAAAAAAAAAAAAAAAATTAATGATTCTGTGTCCAAGAATAATACCATAGTTTGTACTAGCATTTAATTCTAAAAACTTACAGGTTTCTGACTGATTTTACACATTTTATATGGATCTACACTAATTTTTTGAGCAGAACAAAAATTAAATGACAAGATGTGGACAGAAAGCCTGGGATCAAATCAAATGAAAATTCTAGTGAAAAGGTAAATTAGAAAAAAGTATAAAAACTGATCTATTTTATAAGTGTTCTAATGAAACTAGAAGAAAAAACAATGATAAAAATTATAATGATAAAATTAATTAAAAGGAAATCCTATTTTCAAAATGCCAGCTCGCCTGCTCAAGAATATAAAAAAATGCATTGAAGATAACTCGAAAAGTTCTTTATCAAACTGAAAGTGAGAGAAAAAATAATAAAGTACACATAACTCACAGGCCACGGAAAAAACAGATACTGCTCTATTGGCATCCGATCAAGCTGGTACCAATACATGTATTATGTAGGCCTTCTGGCATCTCAGTCAACAGCTTGACTCCACTAGTTCTGAGAAGAGGCTAACTACAGATTTCAAGATTGACAAATTCAGAATTCCATAATTCTGAGACCAGCCAGAAAAAAAGTATAAATCCATGTGTAACAGCAGGAAGTTGTCTAGGTTAATAAAAGCTCCAAGATGTCACATTAACACTTAGAACTCCTCTAGGATATGAGTAAAAAGACAACAGTAACAGACCTACTATTAGAAAAGACCACTTACCAAAAACTTCAATAATCTTCAATAAACTTCAATAATCTTCAAACATTATTTTTACATTTTCCCATAATATTCTTAGAGAAAATAGTATTATTTTTATCTTTCCTACCAATTAATGACTGAAGTAGAATCAGTAGCTATACTTCTTAGTCCAATGCTCTAGGCATCAAAGTTAAAAGGAAAAGAAGTTGAAAGGATAGGGAAAATTGAGCTTGAGCTAGAAGGTAATAGTAATTTATATTTCTCTTGGAAAATGTGTATCTTGAAAGACAAAATTTTACTCTCACTTAAAAACGAAGGGAAGGGGCACCTGGGTGGCTCAATCAGTTAAGCGTCTGCCTTTGGCTCGGGTTATGATCTCAGGGTCCTGGGATTGAGCCCCACATGAGGCTCCCTGCTTGGTGGGAAGTCTGCTTGTCCCTCTGCCTCTGCCCTTCCCCCTATTCATGCTCGCTCTAACAAATGGATAAAATCTTTTTTAATTTTAAAGATTTTATTTATTTATTTGACAGAGAGAGACACGGTGAGAGAGAGGGAACACAAGCAGGGGGAGTGGGAGAGGGAGAAGCAGGCTTCCCCGCTGAGCAGGGAGCCCGATGAGGGGCTTGATCCCAGGACCCTGGGATCATGACCTGAGCCGAAGGAAGACGCTAAACGACTGAGCCACCCAGGTGCCCCAAATGGATAAAATCTTTAAGGAAAAAAAAAAAAGAAGAGAAATAGAGGCACCTGGCTGGCTCAGTTGGAGGAGCATGTGACTCTTGATCATGGGGTCTTTAGTTCAAGTCTCACATTGGGTGTAGAGACTACTTAAATAAACTTTATAAAAAAGGAAATAAAGGATAAAAGCAATATGGATATTGTGATAACACGTTCCATCAAGTGGGAATCAGGAGCTTTGAGATTATTAATTCTCACTCCGACACAAACTATTTTTATGACTGAGGGTATCAATTTACCTCTTTTGTAGAAAGCTAAAAGCTCCTTCTGCAAGATATATCTATCTTTTAGGTGTTTATGATTCAATATGCAGAAACAGAAAGTTTAAATGATTTGAATATCAGAATCTGAATCACAAGTAAAATTTACTGTTAGTTCATGTTAATAACCCAAGTTCTGAAGAAATGCCAACAAACATATTTTGGACTTTATTTCCTAGACCTAATTGTCTCTAAATAAATAGTGGTTTAGTATCTAGACTCCAGATTTAATATATTTGTGTATTTTTACATGTGACCTTTTATTTTCATAATCCACCTAAAAAAAAGAGAGAGCTAATGTGTGGTCCAGTTAAATTATATGTGTATTTTTTGTTTATGATGTTATCTTTGTTAATAAACCTACAAGAAACTATCCTCCCAAATCTCAATGGATATAACTGTATTTGATCATATCAGAAATATAAAACATGGGCTCTGAAGTTGAGGTAGATTGGTTTCAAATTCTACTTCAGTTATGGAACCTTGGGCAAATTACCTAACCTATCTAAGTTCCACTTTCCTCAGCTTTAATATGATGATAATTATAACACCTAATTCATAATGTTACTGTGGTGATTAAATGGGAAAAGTCCCATTCCCATGCCCAGAACATAAGCACTAAAGAGTAACAAGGAGTAATAAATGAAAGTTATGCTTCTCAGAAAACATAAGGTAGTAAAGAATAGCTTACTTTAGAGAGGGAGAGGGGTGCTACAGATAGCATGTAAGGCAAAAAAAAAAAAAGCCTGATCTTTGCAGTGCCCATTCCCCTATAGGGGCTAACCAAAATCAGAACACTGATGCTATTAAGATTTAACTTGCAAAACTGAAATGCATTATTAACTTGTATCTCACAAGTTTAATAACATAGAAATCACTGAATATTGGTTAAAATTTAATTCTAATGACCCTCTCCCAGTCCATCTGGGCCTAATTAGACTTGTACTTTCAGTTCTTTAACTCTGTGCTGAAGCACTTCAGTACTGATCAACAGCAAAACTTCACTATTCATACTTGGAAAAAAACTAAAAAACATACCTTAATAATGGGTCTTTACCACAGAACAGAGCATGGTATGACTATGGATATACATACATGTGGGAACCGTAAAAAAGTAAAACATTAACTTACAAGTTCTGTTAAATGTCTGAGATGTCCAATTTCTTCTGGAAGTGACACCAATTTGTTATTACTAGCAATTAAGACTTTCAATGGTAAATTACACAAGTGCACTGGTAATGTTGACAGTTGGTTCCGACTAAATGGGTAAGTAGAAAAAGAAGAGTCAGAACCCACCACTCAAGAAAAAAATTTCCATCTTTCCTATTCTATATTCAGTAAAGTGACAAACGTTAAGTCTTGGAAGGAACAAATGGGGTATTAGATTTGGATTCTAGTCTCCATTTCCTGACCTATCACCTTTGTGGTTTTGAGCACAGCATTATCTGCTTTTTACACAGACTCCTCATCTGTAAATTGAGGATTTTAATACCTCCTCTACCTATTCTACAGGGCCCTATACCATAAAACTCCTTTGTAAATAATGATGTGCTATATAAACAAAACATATTATTATTTTATTAGTTAATGTTATGTATAAAGTAATTTAAAAATACGGCAGATGACTCTCATCCTCTCCCCTTGTCTTCCAAAGAAGATTTATAAACATAAAAGTAGTTGTAATCTACTTCCCTCATCATTACATACATTATAATCAAATGTATATAAATGATCCAAATATGGTTCTATGGAAAACAAGTGACAGGCTGTGATTTCAAATATGTCACATCAGCTGAAATATAGGTGTGGAATCTTTTATTTATACAAAAACATGCAAAAGCAGTACTAAAAGTACACATCTATCATTAGGATAAAAATAAATTAAAATTTTACTTATATAGATTTAACCTTTTAATCTCTAGGGTCAATTGGCCCCATTTCCAAGACCTTTTGCTGATTTGACTAATACAGATCATGAGCCTTTAAAACTTTTTAAATCAATAATAATTCTATTCCAGGGTGCCTGGGTGGCTCAGTCGCTTAAACGTCTGCCTTTGGCTCAGATCATGATCCCAGAGTCCTGGGATCAAGCCCCGCATCGGGCTCCCTGCCAGGCAGGGAGACTGCTTCTCCGAGCTCTCCTCCCCGCTTATGCTCTCTCCATCTCTGTCGCACTCTCTCTCTCAAATAAATAAAATCTTAAAAAAATAATAATTCTATTCTTAGACATTTACCTTAAGGAAAGAGAAAAATAAACATTTACATACAAGAGTCTCTGCCAGTATTATTTTTATCATGGCAAAAAACTGCAATAAACTGAATATCTGAAAGGGAAAACGAGTTTTAGAAGTATATAAATGGTACACAATGTTTACATATAAAAATATTTCCAAAGAGTATTTCATGCCAAGGGGAAAAACTCATTTAAAAATTTGACTGAAAGCCTGGAGAAAAAGAAAAACATCACCTATAATTATAACTCAGATACAACATTTTGATGAATTTTCTTTATACTTTTCTACATTTGCTCATTTTCTCCAGTGAACATACATAACTTTTATAATGAAAAAAATAGCGAAAGAAGTCTTCCAAGATATGAAAAAATAGAAAGGAGTTAAATAAACGCATTTACACATTCAGAACTTAGTACACAAAAATACAAAATCACAAGAGTAAAAGTACTTTCAGATCTATTCTCTTCTGATAAAATTTATTTGAAAATGTAACTGGAGAATCATAGCTACAAGCCTATTGCAAGCCTATCAGGCTCATGACCCTTACAGTTTGTTAATTATTGCAAAGCTAAAGACAAAGGGAGAAACTAGAATGACATAGGAAATATTGTTAATTCAGCCTAAGAAGATTGTATAGATACTGCAGATATGAACAGATAATGTAAATTTTAGTGAAAGGGAAGAGAGAACTGAAAATACCACATAAAACTAAAAATTAGAAGGAAAAAAAAAAAAGAAAAGAAACAACATCCTTACCTAATATTTAAGAATGTCAGAGCCTGTAGGTTTAGAATTGCCTCTGGTATATACCGAATACAATTTTGATATAAGTTGAGATTCTCAAGAGAAACGAAATGACATGCTTCTATGGGAATTTCTGAGAGACGATTTCGTGACAGATCTGAAAGAAAAAATAAAGTTTAAGATCAATCCTTAGAACTTATTTTATTGAAATGTTAGGTAAATAAGCAGGTTTCATGACTGTCTGAATTCCCAAGAGTTCCCATCGTGAAGAATGGTCCAGAGTAAACATTCAAATATTTATTAATCAGTTGAAAAAACCATTTTAACATACACCTCTCCATCTTTTTGCTGGGAAATACTGATTCTTTCTGAGTCTTCACATATACTTAAAAAATAAAACCAGTATTTTTTGCAAGTAACACAAATTCTAAGGCATATCTCCCTACAATTACACCAAAGATCATACTAAGTATCAAATATCCTAGGAAACAAATGGATCCTAAAATCCACCTTCCCAAAAGCACAGACAACATTCTGAGGTTTTTAAAAAAGCAAAGCAAAACTAAAAAACAAAAACAAAAACCAGCCCAACAACAACAACAAAAACCTGCCCCTTTCTTTCCTTTTTTTTAAAAAAGACTTTTTATTTATTCATTTGAGAGAGACAGAGAACAAGCAAGAGTGTGAGCAGGGGAGAGGGTCAGAGGAAGAGGGAGAGGCAGACTCCCTGCTGAGCTGGGTGCTCGACACGGGGCTCTATCCCAGGACCCCGGGATCATGACCTGAACTGAAGGCAGATGCTTAACCAACTAAGCCACCTAGGCACCCCATTATACTGCCCCTTTCTTTACTGTCAAAGATTATCAGGGTCATGTCAAAAGGAGTCAGGAACCATTTTTGCTCCCACTGGCCAAAGATGAGACAATCTTAGCTTCAATAAAGATAATAATTGCAAAGGACTCAAATGTATCACATATATTGAATTATACTAGTTTATAATGACATCTCCCCCTTCCCTCCCAAAAGATGATAGAGAACCAATTCATTATCTTGTAAACTGATAAAGTAAGGGGAAAACATTTAACTTGGCTTTCCTATATGAACTGTATCACTGAATAACCAAACAGATGAAAGGAAGCGTCTCTGTATAAGTGTTCTAGCTATAAATGAAAAATGATAGAATGTCACCATTTTGCAACCCTCAATGAATTAATGGATCTAGAACTGAGTATTAACAGCTGTCTTTACAATAAGATAATCAGAAACTGTAGGCCTCCCTCTGGAAGAACAGAACATCATTTACAGTCTTGCCAGAGGAACAGAACCTGCGTCTAATGAAGCTTCTGCAAACTTTCAGGAAATGCAGAAGACCAGGGAATGTGTTGAAATAAAGTCACTCCATCATTATCCATTTAGATCTAGTTAAATATACTGTGAGATTCATTTGCTTACCACTGTTTTCCCTCTTCTTATGCCCTACCTTAAAGTCTTTGTTGGTAATTATTTGGTGAGAATCATTTACTGAGAACTTTTCCCCTAAATGGAGGACCTGTATTACTGCATATCCACAAGTATCTTGTTTTCACCATAACATGTGAATAATACTTGGCTAGGTATAGGCACAGGTCCTTTCTTAGGAACCTGCAGATGTTATTTTATTACCGTCTAGCTTCCAGTGTCACATTGAGTAGTCTGGCACGTGACTTTTCCTTTGTAAACAGCATGTTTTTTTGTCTCCCCACCATCCTCACCACTCTGGTCTGAACTCAATAGGCTCTTTCAATCTTTCTCTAAACCAGAGAAATGCTTGCCTATTCTATCTCTAGTTGTTGTATCTCCTCCATTTGCTCTTTCTCCTTCCATATATATATATGGATATATCTATCAATGGATGGATATATATATATATATATATATCCCCTCTCCCACTGCCCCGTTTTGGTATACTCTTCTACTTAATGTTCCAGACCAGGAATTTGAGTCTCAACAATAATCACCCTTTCCACAAATTAATATATAAAAAAGCTCCCTGCTTTCTGTTTTCTCTTACACCATGATTAGAAGCATGTCTCTTTGTTTCTCTTGAAAATCTAAGATAATTTATTTTGTTTTGCCTGTTAAATCTGTCATCTCTCTTCCAGTTTCTATTTCTGTTCTCTTTCACTGAAATCACTTGTAGATGCAATCCTTGTTCATCTGTCTGTCTGCAGGCATTCCTTTAAATGAATTATTTTCCTTTGCCAATTCATGGCTTGCCTCATCCTCCAAGCTCGAGTCCCTTGAAAGGCAGTTAACACCAAAACAGCAGAAGCAATCTCTACGATGCATTGGAAGTAAGCTTCCACTCAGGGGCATAGTTCTTTCTGAGAACTTATAAATTTTGATAATTGCCCCATAGGATTTTGCCTCTTGTTTTCATTTGGATCACAGTATATTTCCCAAACTCACATATTCCCTCTAGGCCCTCCAGCCTGCAAGTCTCAGAGCTGGTTTCACTCTGAATTGGTACTTAGTAACTGAAGTTGGGAAAACAGATCACCATCTTGCCAAAATGCCTCCCCATATTGTATTCATTAGGAAAAAGTTAAAGCCCTGGTTAACAGAGACCATCAAGTACTTAAGACTAAAAATTCCCTATAGAATTACACTATAAACAATTTCTTTCATACTAAATGCAACAAGAATTATTTTTATCAATTCCTATTTAAATTTTACTAGTATAATTTTAAAAGTTGAAGAAATGAGGGATGCCTGGCTGGCTCAGTTGGAGGAGCATGTGACTCTTGATCTCCGGGTCATGAGTTTTAGCCCCACATTGGGTGTAGAGATTACTTAAATAAATACATAAACTTAAAAAAAAGTTGAAGAAATGAAAGAAATTAAATTCATTGCAAACTGCTCCTTATTTAAATTTAACCCTCCAAAATGAAAGCTCCAGGCAACAAATTAAATTTAGGCAGGGATGATGCTTAATCCCTTAAACAAACAGGATTTAAGCTCAGTCTGTTAAACATCTGCCTTTGGCTCAGGTCAGCTCCTGGGCTTGAGCTCAGCAGGGGTGGGGTGGGGAGGGTGAGGGGGGTCTGCTGAGTCGGCTTCTACCCCCCTCCTACTCCCCACTCATGTGCTCTCTGTCACACAAATAAATAAATCTTTAAATTACTTAAAATCCAGAAAAATGAAACAAATAGCTTCCATCATTTTTTTTTACCCCCATACTAAACAGGGAAAAAATAACAGCAAGAGGCCATCTTGCGTCCCCGCGTGTGTGCTCCTAATCTCAGCTGGTCCGCCCGAGACCCCCTAGACCCCCCTATTCCCCCGCGCGGTCCCATTTCCGCTCCAACAAGATGAAAGAAACTATCATGAACCAGGAGAAACTCGCCAAACTGCAAGCACAAGTGCGCATTGGTGGGAAAGGAACTGCTCGCCGAAAGAAGAAGGTGGTTCATAGAACGGCTACAGCAGATGATAAAAAACTTCAGTTCTCCTTAAAGAAGTTAGGGGTAAACAATATCTCTGGTATTGAAGAAGTGAATATGTTCACAAACCAAGGAACAGTGATCCACTTTAACAACCCCAAAGTTCAGGCATCACTGGCAGCGAACACTTTCACCATTACAGGCCATGCTGAGACAAAGCAGCTGACAGAAATGCTACCCAGTATCTTAAACCAACTTGGTGCAGACAGTCTGACTAGTTTAAGAAGACTGGCTGAAGCTCTGCCCAAACAATCTGTGGATGGAAAAGCACCACTTGCTACCGGAGAGGATGATGATGATGAAGTTCCAGATCTTGTGGAGAATTTTGATGAAGCTTCCAAGAATGAAGCAAACTGAATTGAGTCAACTTCTGAAGAACATAAAACTTGAAGAAGTTACTGGGAGCTGCTATTTTATATTATGACTGCTTTTTAAAATTTTGTTCGTGGATCTGATAAAATCTAGATCTCTAATATTTTTAAGCCCAAGCCCCTTGGACACTGCAGCTCTTTTCAGTTTTTGCTTATACACAATTCATTCTTTGCAGCTAGTTAAGCTGAAGAAGCCTGGGAATAAAGTTTGAAACAAGGTTAATAAAGTTCTTTGCCTAGGAAAAAAAAAAAAAAAAAAAAAAAAAAAAAAAATAACAGCAAGATACACACTAGGCTTAGATGCATTTCAATAAATGGGTACTCCTTAATTTTTTAATATTTAGCAAATTTAAGGCATAATCTATTTTTGAAACCAGAGTTTTAAGGGTTCTTATAAGTTCTCCCACTTAAATTGTATTTTTATTTCAATTTGGGAAGACAAGTAGCTTCTTCCTTATGTTAACTGAGTAATTTTTTTACATGCTATAAATTTATAAAAGAGTCATTTAGGTCATTGATCATATTACGGAAAATACTGCAAAGTACTAGTGGTTTATAAAAAATATTTTTTGTCATACTCCCTCCAGGAAGAAATAATTTCATAGTCAAAGAAATGTGATTTTAAAAAGCCTTTAGGGGCGCCTGGGTGGCTCACTTGGTTAAGCATCCGGCTCTTGGTTTCGGTTCAAGTCGTGATCTCATGGGTTGTGAGATCCAGCCCAGGCTCAGCGGGGAGTCTGCTTGAAGATTCTCCCCCTCTGCCCCAGCCCTACTTGTCTGTTCGTGCACGTGCTCTCTCTCTCTCTAAAACAAATAAATAAATAAAATTTTAAAAAGCCTTTAAGAAATAACCTTCAGTTTAAAAAATTATGGGTATGTATTATTCTTAAAACTCTTTTTCTGGTAATAAAAGCAATGATGCTAACTTTGTATGTGCAGAAGACTACATAAAACATATATGCATTCAAATAAATAAAATATTGCCAGTACCCTAGAAGCTCCAATGTAGCTCTTCCTGATCATAACCTCTTCCCTCCAAAAGAGAAACCAATCTACTGATTTTAGTGATAATCATTTCCTTGATAGTTTTAACACTTTATAATTTTTAGTATTAGCTACCTATTGTTGCTGTAACAGATTACCACAAATTCAGTGGCTTAAAACAACACAATTCCATTATTTTACATTTCTGGAGGTCAGAAGTCAGAAATAAGTCTCATTGGGTAAAATCAAGGTGTGCTGGCAGGGCTACTACATTCCTTCTGGAGATTTTAGGGGAGAATCAGTTTCCTTCTGTTTTCATG